TTAATGGACTACCCACTGGCCCCCATTTCACAAATCTGCATGAAGTGTGGCCCTTTATCCCAACTCTATCCATTATTATGGTCCTTCTGCCCACTGTGGAATTGGATGTATGACAGCTACCTCTACTACATAGCAGCTGTGTGTATGTGTAATACCAGATACAACACTTATCTTCATTGAGGGACTCACCATGCTGAGCTCCACAGAATAGTATTCTGTCTTGACGTACTATTAAGATCAGGCCCACATTGCTGATGCCATCCAACCTGGCAAGATTTCTTTTTTAGTTTTTCACTATGCCAGACTTGTCACCTGATTTGTGTTCACAACACAGTGCTATAATCACTATTCTATTCTTTGCACAGGATATTTTGAATCAGGCTTTCCAGGATTAATATTTTTAAGCCCCACATATATTATTGTGCAGATTTCAGTGGAGGAAAATTTCCATTAAATATCACTAGCTCAGTGAAAAGAATAGTCTACTAAGAGAGACATTCAAGATGAATACCTTACCATGTATCTTACTAAATATCTACTACCCACCTATTGTCAGTAAAAAAAAAAAACCTATCAAAATCAATAATACTCATAATCCTTTTCCTTATTTATATATTAATGTGGTAATAATTACTGCTTTTTCCCCATTGTGAATGTTACTTTTTTATACTGTACTAAACAACTAGACCCTACAATAATTTTATCAGTAGGAATAAAAATAAATGTAAATGGTCTTAAAATGTAAATATATTTTATGAATAGCCTTACCTGTATTAGTAAACTAATAATTATTAATATATTTTTGTTTTCATTTCACTAAACTAAACTAGAATTACTTGCTGTATATAGTCAAAATTGCTAAGTATATCCACCATCTTGCCTTAGTAATCCAATAGTCTTTCACTCCCTTTTGTGTATGAACTGTATAATTGTCAGGGAACCAAATATAAATTCCTATAGAATTCTAGCAGGAGATCTGAAAAAAATAATTTAAAAATGAAATTCATAGAATCCAAAAGTTAAGAAATACATGATGACTATATATGAAGGTGTATCAGATATCAAAAGAGAAAAATAATTATTTTAAGGGCACTTAACTAAAAATCATTTTCAAACAGGAAAAACTATGAAAAGCTAGCCTCTGTTTTCTCCACAAGAACAGCTATCAAAGATTAGTAATAAAGAGACTACAGTGGGCAATTTCTGGAGAAAAATTATTTCTCTAACCTACATATCTATTATGTCTTACATAGGTCCACTGTGTACTGCCAAATATACAGCCTAAGGTATTCCTGGTAATGGGACATATCCTGTTGTTGAGGTAAGCAACTCACTATGTACACATGTTCAAATGATTTGGGAGAATTCTCTCAGGCTTATTTTCCTGGTAAAAAAAATAACTTAAGCTCTGAACCAATATTCGAATGCTGAGCCCCTGAACAGCAGAGAGCCTGCAGTGCTGATACTGTGCAACTAGGAGGCCCCTGGTGCACACACACGCACAGTGTGCTCTCCATACATCCTCTGTCTGTCTGGAGACAGATGGCAGTACTGCATGGGGCAGGCCTGACTGGCTGACAGAAACTGCTCAGGATGAGTCTGTGTCCCTGCAGCACAATTTAGGGATTGTGGAGGGAAAGTGTTTACATCCTGCTCAGCTGCATCAGTAGAATCCCAAGCAACATAATGTCTCCCTGGGGCTTTGGGGGGGAGCAGGAGCAAAGCACGCTGGGATGCTGGAGGACTGTGCTATGGCTCGTCTTAGAAGGAAACAGACATTCACTATCCCAGGAGAAACTCCCCCAGAAGTGATTTAACACTGGTTGTTCCCAGGTTGTTTTTCTCCCAGAGCAGCCACTTTTGCTCTGGGACAACAATCCAGAACATCTGTACACTTCTGGTTTTTCCTGGGAGACCAGTGGAGGTAGTAGGAAGTTCAAAATAATTTTCAAATGAATCGGTTAAAACGAATCTGATTAAACTTGGTAAGAACAAATTGTACATGCTAAGAACAGCTTTAGAATTTAGCCTATGACTAAAGTAAAGATAATATTTGTCTACAGTGGGAAAATGGGGGGCAGGTTAAAATGTTAACTCTCATATTCTGATTAATTCACTTATTTAAGCAAGCATTAATCTTTCTATATTAAACGAAAGCCCTGGTTTCAGTAGTGATAAACAGGAGTACCTAAAACAACTTTATTTTCTTAGTCTAGGTGTGGCACTGAAGGGTAGAGTTTTAGCCTCCATGTAGACATGTTAGGGATGCATGTTCATTTGCAGTACTACAAAGTGCTTCATACATGCACAACCCCCTGGCAAAAGTGCTACAAAATCTCCCAAAGGAGTAGTCTCCAGCCAAGGGGCTGCTTCTCAAGGGTCCTGATACTTGTCCACTTCAGCCTCTTACCCACTACAACCCCAAAATACATGACAAACCAAAAACACCCTACAAATGTGCCACAAGCAAAAAGTGGGAAAACTGTGGTACTGAAAATGCCCTGCTACAGCAATGATTTCATAGATTTCATAGACATTAGGGCTGGCAGGGACCTCGGAAGATCATCAAGTCCAGCCCCCCGCCCAAAGAGCAGGAAGTCAGCTGGGGTCATAGGATCCCAGCAAGATAAGCATCCAATTTACTCTTGAAGGTGTTCAATGTAGGTGCTTGAACCACCTCCGATGGCAGGCCTTGGGGGCTTGGATAGTAAAGAAAATTCTTCCTTATGTCCAGCCTGAAACGGTCTTGTAGTAGTTTATGACCGTTCGACCTCATCATCCCTTGGGGCGCTCTGGTGAACAAACGTTCCCCCAGATCCTGGTAGTCACCCCTAATAAACTTCTAGGTGGCCATCAGATCACCCCTGAGCCTGCACTTTTCCAGGCTAAAGAGCCCCATGGCTCTCAGCCTGTCGTCGTAAGGTCTGTTTTCCTGACCACTGATCATGTGTGTGGCTCTTCTCTGGACTCTCTCAAGGTTCTCCACATCCTTTTTGAATTGTGGAGCCCAAAACTGGACGCAGTACTCCAGCTGCAGCCTCACCAAGGCCAAGTACAAGGGGAGAATAACGTCCCAGGATTTGCTTGAGAAGCATCTGTGGATGCAAGCCAGCATTTTGGTCGCTTTAATGATGGAGCAGTAGTTGATTAATATATGCTCAAAAGTTCACAGGAAGAGGTCCATGCCTTATTTTACAGCCAACGGCAAAAAAATCCAGTCTTTGCTAATCCGACCTGGGGAAAACTTTTCTTCTTGACCCCAATTCTGTGTCCTCAATAATCTCTGAGTGAGTCTGTAAAGGAGCATGCAACTGACCTACAATGTTGAGGTACAAAATTGAACATGCTCATTGACTTCTAAATGTTATTCCCATAAACCAGATTGCCAAATATTATCAATGGTGTCTGTGACACCATTTTATGGCAAAAGAATAAAATCTCTACCTTTTACAAAAGAGTATTTAAATTCCTTTATTAATGGTCACATGGCATAGAATAAGTACTCTAGCACAAAAAAAATCACCTACATTCACTGAATTGTTTCTCTTACTCCTTGTTGCAATAGGATTCTTTTTTGCCAGAGACCCCCAAGGATTGATACGGCCCCTCGTCTGATTCAGTATCAAGTGAACTTTAACAGTAACCCCTAAGCACTATTACAAGTATCCTCCCTGCAAAATGACCTAACACGTGGCTTTTTTAGATGTTATAAGAGTGACCTTTGGTGGTACCAGCCTCACATCCTCTGCTGGGTGTGTGGGATGTTTGTTCCTGGTTTTCCTGCAGTTCAAGCAGAAATTCCATGACTGCCCCCCGACTCCCAAGAGTAACAGCACAAACACACAGCATGTCTTTGTTTGTCCATTACTTTTGTGACTTTCTCATCTCAAATTGTCCAGTCCTCAAGTTCCTTATCTCATCTTTTTAGATAAGGTATTCCAATCCTATTCAGTTTTGTTTCCTTTTAGGGAAACTGATATACCTGCTTCACCCACCATACCAATCACTGTGCTCACTTTTCCCACTGCCTTCAAGGCACTGTACAATTTATTGCTTAGTTCTGGGAAGGCCTAGACTATGGACAACAGCCTCAGCATAAATCAGTTTTCCCGCTACACTCCTTGCTTGAAAAACACCATGAAAGCTTTTCTGTGGATTCTAGGTTCTAATGCCTGAAAGAGCTGGAAATCACACATACTTGGGAAAGAAGTAAACAGGCTGTCAACAGGTAGGAGGTATAAATAAATCATTTACCTCTAGTCCCAGGCAAAATAATTCAATCCCAACCTAACAGATCCTGGGGACAGTCAGGCAATGTGAGTTTCTCTATCAGAGAGCCGAGGTTGTAAACTGTCAGAGACAAGAGCTTATAGAAAGGAAAAATGTGTATGATTCTCATCTCCCACAGACTTCAGCGGTTCCACCAGACTGGTGGCAGACCTGCAGCTTGCTCTGGATGTGAGAAGGGGAACCTCCACCTTTCCTAGCAATATATATGGATCCTGGCAATGACTAGTGCTGCAAACAAAACCAAATGCTTTCTAAGCCACTTAAACATTGTCTCAGATGTCTACTGATTGCAGTAAAATTCAACTGTAGTAGCATTCATATGAATGCAAAAGCATTTTTTTCTATCTAGAAACATGGAAAAATATTTTAATATTTAAAATATTTTAAGAGTTAAGTTATTACATTAAGCACACTGCAAAGATATTTTCAAGCAACCAGCAGTGACAGGAAAATATGCAATAGTGAGTTATACACACAGCCATTATTTTAAGCAAAGCCATAAGCTGCAAAAGGAAAAAATGTGGGAAACTGACACACAGAAATCCAAAGGTTTAGAGGATTAGAAAACTATAGGACTTTTTTCAGAATTACTTACCTCAAGGTATCAACTTAATAATAAAATATGCATATGACTGAAGAAGCAAAAGTAATATTGAAAGCACATGTTGACTGAACCCACAATGGGATTTACATTTACAACCTAAACTCACCATTCTTCTCAACAGCCTTTATTCTGCTGATAATAAAACTGTTGGCTTGCTTAGTCTTCCAGTTAACTGTTCCATTTATGGCACCAGCAGAGCTTAACAAAAAAGCTTTTCAAAATAAAACAAATGCAAAAAAAAAAGTGAATTAGTCAGATTAACAGACTCCCACAAATCAAATGCCTGTAACTGGAATTGGATTCTTTCTAAGCTAGCCTTTATTTTAAAATTTTCTTCAGTTTAGAAACAATAAAAATAACAAAAATAAAACAAAAACAAGCCAACCCCCTGTTGCCACCATCACACTAAATGACAACGGTATTTATATAACTGGTGGTTACCATATTGACCTCCTCTTTCCAAGTAAGGCCAGCTCTACCCCACAGACTTTTGCTGCTGGAACAATGTTATTCAGGGTCATGACCCCGCTCCATGTGGGAGTACCTGAATAAGCTACACCACTAACAGGCCATTATTTAAGCTGCAACCATGTCAAGAGCACACTGGTAGTATAATATAGTGGTATAGCTACATTGGCAAAGTGTTTTTATTGTAAACATGGTTTAATAGGTTAAATAACAACTCATATTCTGTTTCATCTATTCTCTTGATAGTGCTGTTGATTAAACACTTTCCTCTATTAACTGACAGAGGGCCTTGTTACATGTTACACTGTGAGCTGCACAAATGTTAATAAGCTTAGTACTAGCTTGCAATCACACCTTCAATTTGAGCAGCACATCTTTGCGGAGTGGCCACACCAAAATGGAAGAGGAGCTGGGTTATGAGGATCAAGAGATAATCCTGCCCTGGAGTGGCATAACTTTGAGCTGCATAATGAATGCTTTAAACCACTTACAGGTGTTAACGCAGGGACAAGCAAAGTCCGTGGGCCAGATCCGGTTGGCCGTGGACTTCATTTCCCAGCTAGAGCTGGGGCACAGCCACAATCTCCTGCTTGTGTGCCCCTGCCCAGAGCATGCAGGGTGCAGGCTGCGGCTCTGCCCTGGCTCTGGAGCAAGCTGCCCTTATTCAAAGTTCCCAGCGGCTCCGAAGCAGCTCCCTACGCTGCTCTGCTCTGTGCTGAGTCTGGTCTTCATGGCATCCCCAGCCTGAACTTTCCTGTACAGGTGTGGCTGGGGTCTCCATGGAGACCGGCCCAAGACATGAGGGCAGGGGCTGCTAGGAAATGGAGTCTGGCTACCAGCCGAATTAGCCATTTTGCCCACCCCTATGTTAACACATTGACAATCCAGGGGTTAACAGCTCCAGGGGCCACCCAAAATTAATATGTAACAAGTTGGTCAGTGGGAGATGAGTGATCTAGGTCTCTCTCCCCAACACCAAATAAATGATAATATCGTTTGATCAAAGTATAACAAAGTATATCAAAATATAACATTATTTCATTTGTCTCACACATGTAATATATTGATTCAAAAACTCATTAAAAATTCAAACATATAGTAGGTGATTATTTTATGTAAGCACACTGGGACTTTTAAACATACAGGGTAAACGTTAAAAGATTTACTTGAGACAGTTAAATATAACTATGTTTTTGTAACATTTTTGGAACATAGGCTGTTGTACTAAACCTCTGAAACACTTATTTAAAAACCTTATTTCTACCAGCACAGACATTTAGTTCCAAAAAGTAAACTCAGTGCATTTTAATTACAACACATCTGTTAAAAAATGCCCTATATCTTGATAACAAAGCTTCTAAAGGGGTCAAAAAATAGAATAAGAAGGAAATGGATACAACCAACAGCCTTGCACGCAATGCAACTATGGGACACAGAGACACATACGCCTTCAGAAATAAATCAATTTCAATCCAATTTTGAAAAATAACATCAAGTGATAACTTCTTGCTTTGATCACAAAGATAGGAATAGGACAATTCTCCTTTATTTATTTATTATTTATATATTTAAATAAACAAAAGACCTTTTGTGGCACTCCTTTCCCCCCAGCCCCACTAGTCAAAAGGAGAGTGGTCAGTGATGGACAGGGCTAACAGATTCTAAATCCTTCAGTAAAGCACTAAAATGCAATCCAGAAAAGGAGAGACAGCTAAGGCTAGTGACTCTCTAGATCTCAGGGACAATGTATTCAAATCCAGCCTGCTCAGGCTAACCTAATGCTCTAATGTGTGTTAGTTTAAGCATTTTAATATCACACATTTTGGCCCACTCAACACAAATGAAAATGGTGTATCTGTGTTGCAGACCTATTGCATGTTACTGTGTGTAGTGTTGTCCAAACCCACGTCCCTACTATTCATAAATAAAACTTTTATCCATGAACTAAGGTGCAATCTTGACTAGGGGTAATGAAGTAAAGCTTGTGTTGGACTTTGAACCTGCCCACTATGCAGTGATTGACAGCTAAAGGCCACATCCCTATTCAGACAATAGTCCAATATCATTCCACAGTCTGCAGTGTTTGAAAGGTCTGGTCCTTCTACCAATTCACATTCACAACTTCCCCCTCCTCCACCCTGCCCCCTTCACCAGAACAACTTTCTGGTTTAAATGTATGTGATTGCCAATTAAGACTTTACTTGTGGGACACACTATTTTCTAGACAAAACAGGCTTATTATCTAGCATGTCTTTGGTTAACATGTGGTAACAGCACAGGAAGGAGTTTTTTTGGGAGAAGTGTCCAGAATCTGTACTTACAATGCTATTTCAAAGAGGGTGGTGGAAGCATGGATCCAATATATTACTGTGTATAGTCTAGGGCAGTGGTTTTCAACCTATGGGCCATGGACCACTGGGGGTCCACAGATTATGGGCATAGACAGAAGGGAGTGGAGGTAGTTTCATCTGGGGTTTCTTCAGTTGGTACTGGAGAGTGGGATAGGTAGATTGGAGGCCACCTCTGAAGTGTGAGGGCTCCAATCCACCCACCCCATGCTCCAGCACTGGCTAGGGAACCCCAAGAGTGGCATTGCTGCAGAGACCCGGCTGCGGGCTCTCAGCAAACAGCTGGAACTTCCAACTCTCAAACCCAACAGCAAACTGTTTGATCTTGGGGATCATTACAACTCCTAGCGCTTCCTGCAAAGCACTATGAGTTTCAACAGGGAGCTGTGCCCTATGTCTAATGGGTCCGCAAAAGATGACCATGATCAATCAGAAGTAAGTGAATATCTAGACTTACAATTCAAAGGGGTCTACACCTCCATTCAAAAATATTTAGGGGCCCACAAATCAAAGGAGACTGAAAACCACTGGTCTAGGGAGCACATCAAGCTTCTACAAACCCAGTATTGCAAGGCAAAGGATAGCAACAACTGTCAGGATTCCCAAGATATGAACCAGGATCTTCAATGCCTACAGGCAGTAGGGATGTGAAAGGTTAAATGATTAATCATTAATGGTGGTTAAATGATTATTCATTAATGATTATTCATTAATCATTTAACCCATAAGTGCAGTGATAACTGGTTAGCTTACCAATTATCCTTGAGCTCCTGATGGGCACAGTCTGATGGAGAAGGGGGGAAGGGAGTGCTCCAGCAGGAATCAGGAGAGAGAGGGATAGGGAGAAGGAGGGGCAGAGGTACTAGTACTCCTAGCCTAAGGGGAAAAAGCAAGCAGCTTAATAACTCATCAGTTAAGCAATTAGGTGCTTGTCCACAGGTGCTGCTCCCTCCCTCCCAGTGCAGGGCTTTGCTGGAATGTATTGTTTGGCTGGGCTTGCCTCTCCCAGTTCCCCCAGTCAAAGTTCATCCAGGAGCCTGAGCAGCTACTGTGTTATCGGTGGATCGTTTAACCAATATTATTAGAGGAGGTTAAACGAATGTTTAAAAAAATATTTACATCCTAAAAGGCAGAGGCCTAGACTGCAGCACCTCCAAGCCGCAAATGAAATACCAATGGGAGCCATAAGTCCTTGATGAGAGAACTGTAAACGCCTCCCATTTTCTCTAGGCCCTTGTCCCAAGAAGTCAAACTGATGTTGTGGACTCCCCAGTCTTGCTCCTGTCTTTGACCTTCTGGTTGTGATCATCTGCTGCCCTGTCTGCAGTCTTGGCACTGACCCTGGCCACCTGGATTGTGGTAAGCCCGACTGGTTGTTGTGTCCTAGTCCCTGCTTCTTGTTCCTATTTCCTGTTCCCTGGGTCCTGCTTCCTGAGGTCCTAGTTCTATCCTTATTCCTGGTTTCTGCCTGTTAACCCCTCTGCTCTGGACTGTTTTGCTGGCTTCTGACCTAGCCTGGTGTCTGCCTATGTCCTGGTTGAAGGCCTGACACAATGAATCAAGTAATTCCTCTTCTACCCATTTTTATTACAAGGCATTTCATCAGGTTCTCACCACTAGCCCCACCATGGAATCTACTGTCCTGAATGACTTGTTTCTTAACAGTGACAGTTTAATTATTGGATTGAAGGAAGACTGGGTGAGGACAGCACTAAAGGGGACTGCAAAGGAAGATGAGATAATCTCACAGAGAGATTGTGGTGCTGAACCCCAGGGTCAAGTCATGCAGGTTAATGTGCCACCAAACATCTTAAATCCATTTCCCAAGGACCTATTTGGAATTAACTAGAAAAGGAGTGATGCAGTAGCAGGAACTATATCAGCCAGTTTGCTATACATAAGCCTCATTATTATATAAGATGTGAAAAGTGTAACATTAACTGTGATGCATATCTGGATTATGATAAAAAACAGTACTGTTACAGAGGATACTGTAAACAGCAGAATAAGCCTAACACCAGTTAAGGGTAGAGACTATGATATTTCCATTCCTTCCTCCTCAATATAGATCTTAATACATCTCCTTCAAATGGCTTCCGGGTGAAGGTGGTAGAACTAAGCATAATATGAGTGATTAATTTATCATTTGAATTTATTAGTAAAAAAAAAAATCAGACAGGTCATATCTCTGCATACACTCTTTTGTTTGTAACTACTGTGCCAGTATAATAATATTCACACTGTTATTAGCATTAAACCATTGTCCCAGGTAGCACAGAATATGAATCCCAATGCAGAGCTTCTTCCTCATCTCAGGAGCAGGGCCAGAGCCCAAAAGCAAATTAATAAAGGAGCTGGCCAGACTGCAATTTCAAGGAGGCAGTGGAGGAAAGAGATGGGCTTCCTCTGCATCTT